AAACCTGCATTCCTTCTGCCTGCTCAACCATTTTATCCAACACTACGCAGTCATGGGAGTGGCACAGACATTTCCCTGACCGATATAATGAATTTTTCATCAGTGCATGTATAACTTTTATTTTTTCCTTTCTGAGCCAGTTTATGTTGGCAGTTCATTCGCAGCCTGTTCCCCCTGCTCCAAGGGAAAAGTAAAAATCCTGCAGTTAAAAAAAAATCTGATGAAAATACAAAATGAAATAGCAACAATGAGGTCTGTGTGCAGGTATAACTAGATTTATTGTGCACCTGGCACAGCACAGGCTTTGCAATCTTCCTCCACCAACTGGAGAACAATATAAAAATCACAGTTCTTAATTTAATGGAAAATTGCCTCCTAATCATCTTGAGACAAAGGCTTCACCCTATATAAAAACATTAAGAAAATAATTTCAGGAATTGTAACTAAATTCTTAGGTGCTTGAAGATTCTGTGGTGGTAGGAGAAGGAGTAGAGTAAAGGGCAATGAAACAACGAGAAACAAATACTGTCGCCAATGGGCAAAGGAGAAATCTGCATCTGTTCCCTGTCATTAATACGTGTATCTACTTGAGAAATTATTCTTTTGCCAGGATATCCACCCCATCAAGATGTTAATACAAATAGCATGAGACATGCAAAGATACTGAGCAAATACTGTTTAATTTTTGTGGGGGAGGCAGTCAATAACAGCAACAAAAATCCCTCCTACGAAACCAACCAAATGCCACTAAGGACCCATGATTTTCTTGCTGTCCACTGAAATAAGCAAGGTATTGTTTATTGTGCCTTCCTTCTCTGTCGCCTTCTGAGCTGCTCCTAAAGTCAAGATTGACTACATGCATTTTTTTTTCCTTTTAAGGTAGTTGAAGGTGGTTAACAAAAGCCTGTAAGAATCAGAAAACATGCTAAGTTCATCTTATTTTCAAAATTCAACAGCATGTTGCTACCTGTTACACAAGTTGTTGGTGCCTTCTCCCCCACCCCGGTTTTGGTGAGTAATGTTCTAACTTTACAGGTGATTTAGATAGATGTTAATGACTTTTTAAGACAGTTGCCCATACACTGGGCTGATGTACACACACACATATGTGCATGTACATATATACATAAACATATGCCTACACACATGTACATCTCCTCACATGAAGACCTCCACTAGTATTTTTCCCTCTTAACATATTTCCATTAGCAAAAATGAGCATGGATAATGAATTTATAGTAGGAAACAAAACTAATGAAAATCAAATCAGAGGATGTGAAGTGGTATGCTGTCAGAATCCAATAAGTCAAATGCACATTTATGTAGTGGTAAAGTGCTAGAAAGTTCTTTCATTAGTATTTTAAAAATGATTATAATAAAAAGAAGTGTGCAGTTTCACTTGATGGTGGTGACCACAGGCACCATAGCAATGGCACTGGCTGAGTTGGAGTTGATGATGTCCTCATACTCTGGGGGTGGATCTAAATGAGGTTCTGTTTCACTCCTCCGCAGGTTCACCTGACCAGTGGCTTCCTCATAGGTCGGTGGGGGATCGCAGTTGGACAGACGAGTGGAGACGGAATCTGAGCGCCCAACTACATATTCCAGAAAGCCTGGCGACAATCCGCTGCTATCAAAGACTTCATCTGGTGGAGGAGGCGGAGTGATAATATTGAGGTGCTGAGGGAAAGGAATATGGCCTTCAGTCACCGTCTGTCTGCGAGTTTTGTTTCTTAGGAAGCATCTCCAGATTAGGAAAATGACAAGGAGGATAATGAAGAGGCCAAAGATTAATGGAAAGGTAAGGTAAAACTGAAACCAGTCACTTCCTCTGTTACTCTCTCCTTGTTGTGCTTTTGTGTAAGTGTTCCAAAACTCCTTCTGAAAATACAAGACGAAGTGAATTGAAAATCAGTGTAATCAAAAGATAGGAGATAGCCAATGAACACATATCTGGGTTCTGTTAACATGATGAAGACAAAACCCAAAACCAGACTCGCTGGTTCAGATGACCTACAGCCTATATTTTCCCTGACAAGAAGTTACAAATCATGGTGCTCACTCCGGATCCTCCCCTACAATAGCCAGTCAGAACCAAAAGTCTTCAAGCCTTGGTGTTATTTGTATTTTCAGTTATGACATATTAGAAGGGGAAAAAAAGCATAAGGGATTTCCTCTTTCCAAATATAGAACATAATCTTCCCTTTAAAATATAAGTTAAATACCATTTTCCATGTCCCATTACGAGGTTCTCGTTCAGGCATCCCATCGTCATTGTGCTATTTCTGGCTGTTGTAGGCTCTTAGTGTTCAAATGCTTCACAGATGAATGCCTTGTTTTCTTAATGGTTCTGTTTGGGATCCTCTTCTACCAGATATTCCTCCCCAGCCCCAAAGTACACAGCTCTAGTGCATCTAAGTAAGTAAGTCCCTAGCATATAAACATCCAATGAGTAGTAGTGATTATAATGAATTCTTGTATATCATAATCAAGCCTCTGCTTCAAATTGCCTGATTAATCTATATCCCAAACCTTGGTACAGACACCACCCCCAGTACTACTGACTTTGTTTTCAAGGCTTAAACTTAGCCAATAGTAGCTTTTTTTTTTTTTAAACAATATTTGCAGGCACTACAGGTCACTGATATTATTTAAATATCTGGCAGAAAGTAAGACGGTGGGCACTATAAAGCTGCTTGTTTTATAGTACTATATTTTATTAGTCATAAAGGCTTTTAAAATTCTCTGGGTATAACAAATGACCCACAGTCATCAATGTTCCACCCCTGAACTCAATCTCCTATAAGGTACATAATTATTCCAACATTCTGTGATTCTAAGATAAAATTTCAATGTTATAAGAAATGTGGTATTTACTAAAGGCTATGTACAGATGAAAATACACAAGGTGCACTATTAAAACAAGCCAAGAGTAGAGACAGTATAATCCCAAATGATACAGCTTTATTTTAGGACAATACCCCAAACTGGAAATTATATTTTTATTAGTGAAACAATCACTTGATAATCACCAGTTGAAAACTCATGAAACACAGATACATGAAGTTTGTTTAAACAATAAAACTGTGCACTATTATCTTTTTGTATAACTGTTACTTTTAGGATTGCCAACTTTACTACAGAAAATATATATTACATAAAAATTTACTAATGCAGAAACATCTAAAAAAGAAAACCAATCATGTGCAATTAATTACACTGCAAAGATAGAATCACTGTTAACATTTTTGGTTTACATCTACTCTTACTTCCAACTCACATTCGAATCCTTACACACATACACATTCTTTAGAAATCTGGAATCAAACTGTACTAAACCACAATAAACTTCTTAATAATGTACTTACAGAGACCTACCAAGTATCTGATTTGTAGTCGATTTTCTTTACCTATATAGATGAGGATCCCTCCTCTCTTCCTAATCTCTCAGATCACCATCTCCTTCCCCCGCCCCGCATTTAATCTTACAATAAGTATGTGATTTCAGATAATTATCTAATGTTAATCTTAGATAAACACAATAAAATGTGGCTTTTTAATCTTGTCCAGTCACTTTGCGATAATCAAGCATCAATGATGCATATGAAAATGATTTTTTTTTTCATGCTTGGCTTGTGTGATTCAATTTCTGAGGTTTCTTTGGCATGCTCAGAAATAAATCTACAGACTAGTGATTTTTTTCTTTGGGAGAAAAATAACTTTAAAACAAAGTCACACTTGTATTTTCCAGGGTTAAAAATAAAGCTTAGGCAAAAATGGAATTACAACACCGATTTTTACTTTACCTATCTTAAGCCACACCCAATAATGAAGGTATAATTATCATCCCTACTTGCAGATGAGGAAATGGAGGCTCAGAGATGTTACCGAATAATAAAACCAAGGTCATTTAACACACAAATGTTGAGGCTGGGATTTAGAATGCCACAGGCCTGGCGTCAGAGCAAACCAAAAAGCAACCTGCCCTGATGTATAAGGTATTTTAAACCTGGACACTTTCCTAGAAAATTCAATCTTCTCATCATGTTAAATGTGGAGTTGAAAGCAAGTAACACTGATCTGAATAAAAGGTACTGACAGATTTATTTCTTGGGAAACTAGCCTTACTTTGTCTTTGAGGCAAGAGAATTGGAGAAATAGTCACATGAAATCAAGTAAAATACTATAACTGTCCTTCAAACAAGTAAACCCAGTTTATGTGTTTCTGAGCTCTTTAGATTCTTCTCTGTCTCACTGAAAACAGCCAGAAGATATTCAGAAAAAGCAAATAAGTGATTTCAAGACTTGGTAAAAATCCTTAATCTTTACTGCAGAAGGTATTCATATGGATTAAGACTTGCCGACCAGGTGAGTGGCAAGCAGCCTGCTTTATGAAGAAGGTATTATTGATCTCCAATGTGAGGTAACAGGTTTTGTTGTTACTGATGCTCCTGTTTTGTTTTGTTCCTTCTTTCCATGATGGCTTTTACTTTTCTTAACCCTGGTCTGGATCTTTCAGATTACATGTAAGGATCAAATTTAACTTGCATGGAAAATAATAATTTATAACTAAATATAATAATGATACACTATATTACAATGTGATATTATAACTAATAAAAATATAAAAAAAAGACTTGGTAAAACAGTGCTTTAGAGGGAATGAACATTTGTTTAATGAAGAAAAAATTTTAATGAAAAAGATTAAAGGGATTCAGTAGTTTTAGATAAGGCTAAATGATACAGATAATAAATGTAATCGGAAGGGACCAGACAGGTCTGACAGTCATTTCAGATATGGAAAAACGCTTGCATCCCTGGAATAAATCCCACTTGATCGTGGTGTATGATCCTTTTAATGTGCTGTTGGATTCTGTTTGCCAGTATTTTGTTGAGGATTTTTGCATCTATGTTCATCAGTGACACTGGCCTGTAATTTTCTTTTTCTGTAGGATCTTTGTCTGGTTTTGCTATGAGGGTGACGGTGGCCTCATAGAATGAGTTTGGGAGTGTTCCTTCCTCTGCAATTATTTTGGAAGAGTTGGAGAAGGGTAGGTGTTAACTCTTCTCTAAATGTTTGATAGAATTTGACTGTGAAGCCATGTGGTCCTGGGCTTTTGTTTCTTGGGGAGTTTTTAAATCACAGTTTCAATTTCAGTACTTATGATTGGTCTGTTCGTATTTTCTACCTCTTCCTGGTTCAGTCATGGGAGATTGTGCCTTTCTAAGAATCTGTCCATCTTATTGGCATAGAGTTGCTTGTAGTAATCTTTCATGATCCTTTGTATTTCTGTGGCATGTGCTGTAACTTCTCCTTTTTCATTTCTAATTTTATTGATTTGAGCCCTCTCCCTTTTTTTCTTGATGAATCTGGCTAAAGGTTTATCAGTTTTGTTTATCTTCTCAAAGAACCAGTTTTAGTTTCCTTGATCTTTTCTTGTTGTCTTCATCTCTATTTCATTTATTTCTACTCTGATCTTTATGATTTCTTTCCTTCTACTAACTTTGGGTTTTGTTTCTTCTTTCTCTAATTGCTTTAGGTGTAAGGTTAGGTTGTTTATTTGAGATGTTTCCTGTTTCCTGAGGTAAGACTGTATTGCTATAAACTTCCCTCTTAGAACTGCTCTTGCTACGTCCCATAGGTTTTGGATTGTCATGCTTTCATTTTCATTAGTCTCTAGGTATTGATTTCTTCAGTGATACATTGGTTATTTAGTAGCATATTTTGTAGCCTCCATGTGCTTGTGTTTTTTACACATTTTTCCTTGTAGTTGATTTCTCATCTCATAGCATTGTGGTTGGAAAAATGCTTGATATGATTTCAATTTTCTTAATTGTAAACCAAGGTTTGCTTTGTGGCCCAGCATGTGATCTGTTCTGGAGAATGTTCCATGTGCACTTGACAAGAATGTGTATTCTGCTGCTTTTGGATGGAATGCTCTATAAATTTCAGTTAAGTCCATGTGGTCTAGTGTGTCATTTAAGGCCTGTGTATGTCTATTGATGAAAGTGGGGTGTTAAAGTCCCCCACTACTATTGTGTTACTGTCGATTTCCCCTTTTATGGCTGTTAGTATTTGCCTTATATATTGAGGTGCTCCTCTGTTGGGGGCATAAATAGTTAAAATTGTTATATCGTCTTCTTGGATCAATCCCTTGATCATATGTAGTGTCCTTCCTTGTCTCTTTAACATTCTTTACTTTAAAGTCTATTTTGTCTGATATCAGTATTGCTACTCCAGCTTTCTTTTGATTGATTGATTTCCATTTGCATGGAATACCTTTTTCCATCCCCTCACTTTCAGTCTGTATGTGTCTCATAGGTCTGGAGGTGGGGCTCTTGTAGACAGCATATATACGGGTCTTGTTTTTGGATCCATTCAGCTAGTCTGTGTCTTTTGGTTGGAGCATTTAGTCCTTTGCATTTAAGGTAATTATCAATATGTATGTTCTTATCGCCATTTTGTTTTGGATTTTGTGGTGAAGGTCTTTTTTCTTCCCTTCCTCTTTTGGTCTCTCCTCTTGTGATTTGATGACTATCTATCTATCTTCAGTGTTGTGTTAGGATTCCTTTTTCTTTTTGTGTGTGTGTGTATCTATCTATCGTACATTTTTGGTTTGTGGTTCCCATGAGGTTTTGATATAGCAGTCTATATATAAACAACAAGATTGTTTTAGAAGTTACTGGTCTTTAATTTCTGATGCATTTCCAATATCCTGCATTTGTACTCTCCTCTTCTCATGATTGCTGGTTGAGAGACAGCCAAGAGCTATAGAGCAGGGTTGAATGATAAGGTTCATCTCCTACATGAGGCTACTCCTTCAAGACAGAGAGGTGGTTGTTTCATCTACTATATAGAAACCAATACAAAGAGTCAAGGAAAGTGAAGAAACAGAGGAATATGTTGCACATGAAACAAGATAAAAACCTCAGAAAAAAATCCTTAATGAAACTGAGGTAAGTGACTTAGTTATCTGATAAAGAGTTCAAAATAAATAATGTCATAAAGATGTTGGAAAGGAATGGATAAACTCAGTGATCACTTCAAAAGGAAGGATACAATAACTACTGAAGAATACACTAGTGGGGTTCAACAGCAGACTAGATGAAGCAAAAAAGGTCAGTGAACTCGAAGACAGGGCAGTCGAACTCACCCAGTCAGAGCAGCAAAAAGAAAAAAAGAATGAAGATGATAGCTTACGGGACTGTGGGGACAACATCAAGCTGACTTAATATTCACATTTTAGGGAGGTGCCAGGAGGCAGAGAGAGAAAGGGACAGAAAGATATTTTGAAGAAATAATGGCTTAAACTTCCCTAACCTGGGGAAGGAAACAGACATCCAGATTGGGAAGCCTAGGGAGTTCCAAACTAACAAGATGAACCCAAAGAGACGCACACCAAGACACATTATAATTAAAAGTTAAGGAGAGACTTACTTACTTCTAAGAGCAGCAAGAGAAAACCAATTTGTAACATACAAGGGAACCCCTGTAAGACCATCAGTAGGTTTTTTAGGCAAAATGCTGCAGGCCAGAGGGAGTGGCATGATATAGTCAAAGTGCTGAAAAGAAAAACTTCCAACCAAGAATACTCTCCCCATCTAAGTATTGCTAGTTAGTTGGAGACAGAAAGAGAAGGTAAAGGAGTTCATGTTACAGGAATTTTAAGCTGAACAAAAAGGGGTACTAGTAACAAGAAAACATATGAAAGGATAAATCTCACTGGTAAATATATAGTAAAATGGTGGATTAAAACGAGTATGAATGTTAAAGGACAAAAGTAGTAAAAATAACTAACTACAGACATAGTTGACCCTTGAACAACACGGGTTAAGTGTGCTGACCCTCCACCCACTTGAAAATTCGCATATACCAGTTCCACATCCGTGGAGTCAACCAACTGTACATTGTGTAGTACTATAGTACATATTTTGTAGTACTGTAGTACATATTTAGTGAAAACAAATCCATGTGTAAGTGGACCTGGGCAGTTCAAACCCATGTTATTCAAGGGTCAACGGTATGTAAGGGATATACAAGATAAAGAGATGTAAAATGTGATATGAAAAACATAACGTGGCAGGGGGAGGAGTAAGAATGTAGAACTTCAGAATGTGTTCAAAGTTAAAATATATAGACTGTTAAGTTGTTGTAAGTTGCTATATGTAAGCCTCATGGTAGACACAAAGCAAAAACCCTATAGTAGACACACAAGATAAAGCAAAAGAAATCTAAGCATACTACTAAAAATCATCAAATCACAAAGGAAAAGAACAGAAGAAATGAGAACTATAAAATGGTAAGAAAAGAATTAACAAAACAGCAGTAAGTATATACCTATAATTCATTACTTTAAATGTCTATAATTCATTACTTTAAATGTAAATGAACTAATAAAGTCTGTAATCAAAAGGCATTAAAAAAAAAGACGACCTATCTATATGCTGCCTTCAAGAGACTCACCTTGCATGTAAGGACACAGAGACTGAAAGTGAAGGGATGGAAAAAGATACTCCATGCAAACAGGAACCAAAAGAAAGCTGGAGTAGCTATACTTACACCAGACAAAATAGACTTTAAAACAAAGACTGTAATAAGAGAGAAAGAAGGGCATTACATAAAGGGGTCAGTCCAACAGGAGTATGTACCATTTGTAAATATTTATGCACCCAACATAGGAGCACCTCAATATATAAAGCAAAGATTATCAACAGCCCTAAAGGGAGAAATAGCAGTACAATGATAGTAGGGGACTTTTATACCTCACTTTCATCAATGGATAGGTCAACCAGACAGAACATCAATAAGGAAACATCAGCCTTAAATGAGTGATACATTTGAACAGATGGACTTGAGAGAGAGATACAGATCATTCCATCCAAAAGCAATAGAATACACATTCTTGTTAATTTCTTCCAGAATAGTTCATATGTTAGGACACAAAACAAACCTTAATATATTAAGAAGATTGAAAGCTGCTATCAAGCATCTTTTCCAACCACAGTGGGATGAAACTAGAAGTCCGTTACAAGAAGAAAACTGGAAAATTCAGAAATTAAACAACATGTGAACAACCCATGGGTCAACGAAGAAATCACAGAGAAAAAAAATTCCTGGGACAAATGAAATGGTAATAAAACATACCAAAACATACGGGATGCAGCAAAAGCAGTTCTAAAGGGAAGTTCATTGCAATAAATTCCTACATCAAGAAACAAAAATTGTAAGAAACCTAATTTTATACCTTAGTGAACTCGAAAAAGAAGGAAAAGCGAAGGCCAAAGTTAGTAGAAGGAAGGAAATAACAAAGATCAGAGTGGAAATATATGAACTAAATATGAACTAACTAGGGACTAAAAAGACAATAGAAAAATCAGTGAAACTGAGAGCTGGTTCTTTGAAAAGCTAAACAAAGTTGACAAGCCTTTGGACTCACCAAGAAAAAGGGAGGACTAAAATAAAATCAGAAATGAAACAGGACGCATAACAACTGATACCAAAGAAACACAAGACTACTATGAACAATTACCTGCCAACAAATTTGACAACCTAGAAGAAATGGATAAATTCCTAGAAATGTACAAACACCAAGACAGGATCATAAAGAAACAGAAAATCTGAACAGACCAATTACCAGTAATTAAATTAGAGATTATTAAACAAAAAACCTGCCAGCAAAAGACAAGGACCAGACAGTTTCACTGGTGAAGTATACAACACATTCAAAGAAGAGTTAGTACCAATCCTTCTCAAAGGCTTCCAAAAAAAGGAGAGGGAACGCTTTCAAACTCATTTTACAAGGTGAGCATAACCCTGACTCCAAAACCAGACGAGGATGCTACAAGAAAGTTACAGGCCAATATCCCTGATGAACACAGATGCAAAAATCCTCAACAAAATACGAGCAGACTGATTTCAACAATATATGAAAAGGATCACACACCATGATCTAACCAACTCAGGTGGGTAACCCCATCTGAGAAAGGGCACTGCTTACCTGAGGTCTGTTGAGCTGCCATGTGCTTTCACATACTGCCTCTGTTGCATGTT